GGTGCAGGCCAAATGAAGCTGTCTTCCTTCTCTTCTTTTGCAGTTATTCTCAGGTTTTTTGTTCCACTGTGGGGCTGAAATTTGTTTTTGTTTGTGGATAGCTGTCTAGTTGTTGATATTTATAGGGAGATGCAGAGGGGAGGCTGGTGTCTCCGACATCACCATTTTGGTGACATCACTCTTACAGGTGAGATTTGAATGCTACCCAAATGTGAAGGGACAAAACCAACAGAATCTATTTCTAAGCAGAATCAAAAATACATTCTAAAAAGGTAACTGACCTTTGACAGTGTGGTGATTTGCTTCAGCCATAAAGGGAGAATGATTGTCTTCTATTATAGTACTAGTAAATGATGCTGTCATTTCAATATGTAAATGATAACTCTCAAAGTGAAATGTAAATCTAATCAGTAGGCTTCAAAACAGGATAAAGTGCACACTTTAACATTGTTCAGTATAAAATTAAAAACATAATAAGGTGGAACCCCCCCCAATGTCTTACAGTACTAAATTGCAATAAATGGACACCCTTTTAATGCAATTTTGTCATTTTTATTCACATTAATTTCTAAAGCCCACATGTTTTTCCTGCTGGGTCCATTACTAAAAATTATTCTAAACAGTGCTGGGCTAATCATGACTATGAGCTGTGAAAAGGCAGCCTGTCATTGTAGGAATAGGGATAGAGAAGTGTGTTCTTACTCAAGTGTCTAGTAGTTTCTGTTAGAAGAATAGAATACTTGTTGCTATACTTAAGCTTTTTTGTTTGATTTTTTTCACAGAACAAAAGCCCATATCCAGGTTTAACAATAGGACTGGCTTACTTAAAATGAATAAAATATCCAAATACATGTCAATTTTTTGAATATTAAATAAACAGTTCATTTACCTTCACAGTTGGATTCATATTTGGTTATCCCAGAATAAAGACATTATGTTTTAGAAAAATATTAAGCTCTGATTTTTAATATTTTCCTTTATGATAGTAAATATCAATTACATGATTTCCAAAAATATACTATGGACACTGGTGCAGCCACTCTGGAGAACAGTTTGGAGGTTCCTCAAAAAGTTAAAAATAGTACTACCCTATGATTCAGCAACTGTGCTACTAGGTATTTACCCAAAGGATACAAAAATACAGATTCCAAGGGGTATATGCACCCTGATGTATATAGCAGGATTATTAACAATAGCCAAACTATGGAGAGAGCCCAAATGTCCATCGACTGATGAATGGATAAAGAAGATGTGGTATATATATACAATGGAATATTACTCAGCCATCAAAAAAGAATGAAATCTTGCCATTTGCATTGACATGGATGGAGCTAGAGTGTATTATGCTAAGCGAAATAAGTCAGTCAAAGACAAATACCATATGATCTTACTCATGTGGAATTTAAGAAAGAAAACATCTGGGAAGGGGGGGAAAAGGAGAGAGGGAAATAAGCCATAAATGACTCTTAATGATAGAGAACAAACTGAGGGTTGATGGAGGGATGTGGGTGGGGAATGGGCTAGATGGGGGATGGGGATTAAAGAGGGCAGTTGTGATGAGCACTGGGCGTTGTATGTAAGTGATGAGTCACTGAAGTCTACTCCAGAAACAAATATTGCACTATATAACTAACAAAATTTAAATTAAAAAAATAAAACTTAAGGTTTTATCAATGAAAAAAAAACAAAAACAAAAAATAAAAACTGAAGATACTGTAGCTAATAGAGTTATCACATTCCATTACCTTGAGATGTAGTGAATAGACTGACCCATAATCATTTTTACCAACTGGCCCCTTTGTTACTCTTAGGACAGCCAAGCAGAAGCTTGAATTTTACGGTTGGTTGCAAATCCTTGGCCATTTTCTTCAATTTCAAGGCTACAAAGTGCCAAACCATATTTGGAAAATAATAAAGTGATAGAGATCTTCATTCCTTGAGGTGAAATGCTCTATGATATGCTTCATTTTGATTTTAAACTACGTTGACTCTTGAACAACACGGGTTAAAAATGTGTATATAACTTTTGAATCCCCCCAAACTTAGCTATTAGACTATTGTCTACTGTTGACTGGAAGCCTTACTAATAACATAAACAGTCGATTAACACCTATTTTGTATGTTATAGTTATCACATACTGCATTCTTAAAGTAAGCTAGAGAAAATAAAATATTACTATGAAAATCATAAGGAAGAGAAAATACATTTACAGTACTGTATTTATCAATACTGTAAGGTTACATTGTCTCTTCATAAGATGAATTGTCTGTCAGTATCTACATCAATATTGTCTTATATGACACAATACACTATAGATGGACTTATTGCTAACATGAGGTATCAAAAATGAAAAGATAATGTGCAAAGAGATTTATATTTATTTATAGGCATTACAATTCATGCATTAACAAAGAAGCAGCAATGTAATTGCTTTACGTTAGCCTAGTATAATTGATAAGATTGCTTCATGGTAGCAAGCCTATACATTAATAAATGAATTGTTAGAAAAATTTTTATGGCATATAGCATTACAGTCGTATTCATAATACAGTATTGGAAACATTGTTACATTTTTAAAAAGCCACTTACCTATGATGATAGTCTGATACACAGTTTCTTCAATTACAAGAGAGAGGCATACTGTATGTTAATGTAATTCTTTGAAAGCAAAGTTAGAAAACAGTAAAACTAACACATTATTAATTTTATATTAAATATCACTCACCTTAGGCTAACAACTTCCATACGAGACTTGCACACTACGTTCTACACGATGAATACTTACGCGATGATGATGATGATGAAGACACAGAAACATACATTTCTTGTCATATGGTTAGATTTTCTTTTTTTTTTTTTTTAAGATTTTATTTATTTATTTGACAGAGAGAGACACAGCGAGAGTGGGAACACAAGCAGCGGGAGTGGGAGAGGGAGAAGCAGGCTCCCCGCCGAGCAGGGAGCCTGATGCGGGGCTCGATCCCAGGACCCCGGGATCATGACCTGAGCCGAAGGCAGACGCTTAACAACTGAGCCACCCAGGCGCCCCTTTTCTTTTTTTTTTTTTAAGAGATACATATTTTTTAATTTTTTATTATTACATTCAGTTAGCCAGTTAGTAGATTTTCACATGAAGACAGTCATACACATACACAGCATATAAGTTTATTTAACTGTATGGTTTGATGATTATTTGCTATCCATTAAGTGGCAGTGGACCATTGGTCTTCATCCTGTCTCTTCGTGTCAAGTGGGCTGAGGAGGAGGAGGAAGAGTGGGGGTTGGTCTTGCTGCCTCAAGGGTGGCAGAGGCAGAAGAAGTGGAGTGAAATACATTGAGTGGGCTGAGGAGGAGGAGGAAGAGGAAGGGTTGGTCTTGCTGTCTGAGAGGTGGCAGAGGAAGAGGTTGAGGTGAAATGAGGGGCAGGAGAGGTAGGCACACTCAGTGTAACTTTATAGAAATACATTGTAATTTCTGTCTGATTTTTTGCTGTTTCATTTCTCTGAAAATGTTTCTATATGGTACCAATCCTTCCACTGTGCCCTTTAGTTGCAGTGCCCACATCATAGAAGGGTCCTTCTGCCAGACTGTGTAATGTCCATTTGTTTTCTGCTAAGGGCAGTCTTGGTCATAAACTCCACTGCATTTGTGTTACCAAATCCAAGTTTGGCTGCTCATATGCTGGAAAGGCCAATACTCAAGAGACAAGTTTTGATTGGAAAGGAATTTGATCTTTATTCAGGAGGCTGGAAACCTGGGAAGAAGGCGGACTCTTGTCCAAAAGCCAACTCCCTAGTTTTTGCCTGACCCAGGGTGTTTAGGGTAGTTAATCAGCAAAGGGAGTGTAGTGGTCCGAAACATTTCTTGATTATGTTCAGGCTCAGTGGTGGCCGCTACAGACATTATCTCAGTGCTCAGAGGTTGCGCAAGGGGGTCATGGTTCCTTAGTGCCTGGGCTTATGCAAGAGTACTCTGTTCTTTCTGCAAAGGAGGCCAAGGTCTACGGATGCGCAAAGGGAGGTCAGGAAAAGTCATTTTTGTGACCTTAAAAAAGGAAAACATTTTGCTAAAAGATTGCAGGGCTAATCAGAAAGTTGAGCCAACTTCAAACAGACTTGTTGGCCTCTGTGGCCTGGGAAAATTCTGGTCCTTTATTCCCCAAGGCCAGTGGTCTGCAAATCTCAAAGAAAGTATATTGGTTCTGTTACAGGTCAAGGGCCTTAGGTCAGCAAGCAAGGAGCGTGTTAACCTGAAACAAGTTAACCCTTAAGACAGGTTGGAGTGCTGTTACATTTGCACAAAACGGTAGTTAGCCTAACCCTTCCTGCCTTAAATCCTGGTGCTCATTTCTCTTCTTTACTAGTAAACGTCCTTTGTGGCATTTTTTTTTTTTCCAGAATAGAGCAGTTTCATCTGCATTAAAACCTGTTCAGGCAGGGCACCTGGGTGGCTCAGTCGTTAAGCGTCTGCCTTCGGCTCAGGTCATGATCCCAGGGTTCTGGGATCGAGTCCCACATCGGGCTCCCTGCTCAGCGGGGAGCCTGCTTCTCCCTCTGCCTCTCTCTCTTTCTCTGTGTCTCTTATGAATAAATAAATAAAATCTTAAAAAAAAAATAACACCTGTTCAGGCAGATATCCTTCCTCAGTGACTTTTTTAATGGCGTCTGGGAACTTCTCTGCTGCCTCCTGGTCGACAGAAGTTACTTCTCCTGTTATCTTGACATTTTTTAAGCCAGACCACTTTCTAAAATCTTTGCTGGTTTTAAATTCTCCGGTTGTAGATCCTTCACCTTCTTTTTGCTTTAAGTGGCATATAATGACTTCCTTTTTCCTTGAATCCTATTAGAGTCTATAGGCATACCTTTCTTAGAGCAGTCCTGCACCCACATAATAGCTGCATTTTCAAAACGAGCTAAAAAGTATTTTGCAAAACGTGCAAGGTTTTCATGCCTGCTGGCGTAGCTGCGGCAGTGGCTTCACGAATTTTCTTTGTTTGCAGCGTCCTTCAGCTGGATTCACTCATCTCGAAATGGTGGGCACCTGCAGCTGCAGACCCCCATCTGTGGTACGTACCAAGCAATTCAACCTTTTCTTGTCCTGTCATGACTTTGCTCTGCTTCTTGGGAGCACCTGCAGCATCCCTAGTCGCACTTGGTATGGCCCCAGACTGTTAGTCAAGGTTTAGGGCATTGTACTAAACACGATGAAAACTACACGAGGACCGCGAGAGAACACTTCCCCCCCCCCCCCCCCGCGATGGGCAATGTGCCGCAGAGATGATTGGCATCACGTGGCTTTCTCAGTGGCTCCCAGCAACCCTTGAGTTCAGCGCAGTCCCTGCAGGAGGTAGCTCTGGAGCTCCGGCAGGAGCACGGTATGTACTACAGCTCATTTTATGCAGATATGACTTAATACTACAGCCTTACCTTTGCTTACGTTTCTCTCCACTATGAATGGCGCTGTGTACGGTCTGTAAATGTGTGTGTAAGTTTTGATAAACTTTATATCTTATGGTCGTAAATGATAAAATAGACTGGTATCTACATATGTTTTGTGTATTCTTGATATACCTTTTTCTTAATTCTTTTGGTATTTCTAGGTTATGCAGTTTGTCTGCAAGTTTTTTGAAATTGTTACAAATCTCCAAAAATGTTTCCAATATATTTGTTGAAAACGTCTGCATATAAGTGAGCCCACGCTTTTCAGATCTGTGGTGTTCAAGGGTCAGTTGTAGTTGTTGTTTTAAAGATTTTATTTATTTGAGAGAGAGAGAGAGAGAGAGAGCACACAAGCAGGGGGAGGGGCAGGAGGAGAAGCAAACTCCCGGCGGAGCAGGGAGCCTGATGTGGGGCTTGATCCCAGGACCCCGGGATCATGACCGGAGCTGAAGGCAGACACTTAACCGACTGAGCCACCCAGGTGCCCCTGTAGTGTGTTTTTATATAGTCAGAAAACTGCTTACTTTTTGGTTTCAGTGTGAAGAAATCCTTTCAGTAAGAAGGATGTGTTCATCCACTAACCAAATCTCCTTTACCTCATAATTGCAAACAACAAAGGACATGGGATGCAAAGCCTGGAACCCAGGTTCATGAATTTAATGGCAGGATGCAGAATTTTGATACCTATTCTGATTTTATAGTCTTCCTGTGCTAAGGGAGACACAAGTTCTTTTCTACCAGAAGCCAGCCTAGAGTTTGCTGATAAACCTAGATATACAACTTGGGATCTAAAAAAGGAGAATAGAATAGAAAGAAGCATAATCAAACTGTCTTTTGAATTGATGCTTGATTCCATTAATGGTGCTCCTGATTTCTAGGCTGTAGAAGGCCCTTATTCTCAGGTAACTATACAAGACTCTATAGATGAGACTAAAATTGCCATCAAGTTCCCACACATTTTGTCCACAGAGTAAAAAATAAAAAGAAAAATGAAATTTTATATCAATGAAATATAATCAACCAGACATGGTGTATGTTTTAACAGTCTAGATTCTTACTTCCCTCCTTTCCCAAACACAATTGTGTATAAAGCTAGCTTTCTAATTAAATAGATACTTGGATGGATTAATTATCATTTTTAGACTGTTCAATGTTATCTAGAGCTTTTATTTTAAACTTAAAACCTTATTTTCTTCCCATTGGTCCCCCAAATTTGGATCAATCAATAATTCAAGCTAATGTCCCTTAGTCCTAAACACGAGCTTTTAAATAATTGTCTATAGTGAAGTTATTTTAAAATTTATCATAGTAAAACGGATGAATAACAGATTTTTGCCTCTTGCCTCCTTCCCTTTTAGATTGATTTGAGTATGCCATTATACTGAGTTGCATGTAGTCCTCTAGTGTTCTCTTTTGTATTTGTCACAAAGGATCAGCTAGTGTTCTCTTTTGTATTTGTCACAAAGGATCAATGAAACAATGCCTCCAGAAGGAGCCAGGGAACAAAGGGCGTACTTAAGGAACTAGTTTTTTAATTCTCTGGTTGCAGACCTCTGGTTCACCATCACTTCCTTTTCTTGATACAGTGCTACAAAAAAATGTCTATTCTAGTTCTTTCAAAACATATTATGGCAGCAAAGATATAAATTTTGGTATTTGTCTTCTAGAGTTCTGATTTAGATTGTTCCCAGGGCAATAAAATGTACTCTCTGGGAGGCTTATAATACAACACAGAGAACAGAGTTTAACCTCTGGGGGAGTTAAATTACACCAGGTCAGAGAGCAATCAGTACTAAGGGAAGCATGCCATCAGAATATGTTTTCAAAACTGAAATGAGAAAGGGTTGTCATTATTATTTGCGAACTCTGAGTATTTATAATATGCAGTGTGCTATAGTATGGTCAGTGAGGCATACAGAATTGAGAAAGATGTGGTTCCTGCGCTCGAGGAGTTTATAACCTCTTGGAGAAGATGTGGATACTTATAAATAACTGATGCATAGGAGATAATGAGGTGCAGAATGGGATTGGCTGAATGTGCACTCTGAATAAGGCAGGAAAGAGCTTCAGGGTTCCAAATGGAAACTTGCTGTTATGACATAAGATATTAAACAGAGTGTATGTAATGCTAGACATTTCTATCCGAAGTTTTCTGGAAGCTGTGCTGTACAGTACGGTAGTAACTAGCCATGTGTGGCTGTGTAAATTTAAAGTAATTAAATTCCTTTTCTTAGTGGGACTGGTTGCATTTCAGGTGTTCTCTGTGACTAGTGGCTACTGTATTGAACAGAACACGTACAGAACATTTATATTATCGCAGGAAGTTTTGTTGGACTGTTCTAGAGCCGCGTCTTTTATATATTAAAGATGAGCTGAGTTGATTACTCTCTAAAGTAGTGGGGACAAGTGATTACTTGAAATACTGAGAGGTCATATCATTTTGTAAATTGCAAGACTCAAACTCGTAAAACTATATGGGGATATTTTTAGAATCTAACAACAGATCATTTAAAAGAATAGGAAATACGAATCGCCTAAAAATGTACCTGTTCACTTTTTAAGTATAAATTATGGCTCTGTAGTTTAGAAAAACTGCAAATATAAAAAATAGTCAGATATTATAAATATTAACATTATTAGTAAAAGGAGTTAATTTAATGGGAGTTAAGGCAGATTATCCTCAGCTAAATATAATTGACTTTGAGACTAGACCTAGCACTAATGCACTTGGGGTAATATTGAACATGATTGTTTCCATGGGAACATTCCTGGAGTGGCTACGGCCTAAAAGGGATGTTTAGGGCGTTTTCACAGACGATTTGGTGGTATTTATGCCACCGATTCAGATTCTAATCAAGAACTGATTTTAATTTTATTTATTTCTGAGTTTTTTAAAAACTAAAAGTGAAGTAAAATAGGCGGTGCAACAAGCTAGAAAATGCAGCTTTAGAATGCGGAGGTAGCTCAAGGAGGGATCAAGAGCAAGAGTGACAGCAGAAATTGGCCTTGGCCAGCTGGCGGGCAGGTGACAGCCTGCTTTTTGCAGTGTCGGGATGGAGTGTGTTGCAGTAGGAAACAAAGGATGGAGGCGGTCCTTGGAGGCCCTGTCTGGACACCTGCTGTGAGAATGGAGGGAGGCTGGGTGTATACAGTGAGTAGAGCCTTCACCCAGGCAAGTAGCATTGCAGAAAACAAAACAAAACAAAAAACCCCAAAACTTCTGTGATCCACGAGTGAAATGGCACACATAGGAAAAGGAGGACCTCAAAAGAGGGAAATCTAGCCGGCAGCCCAGGGATCAGTCTCTCTCCACGTGGCTTGAGGGTTATCACTATGTCTTTCCAGAGGGAAAAGTGGATTCTGGTACCAGAACCCCACTTACGTGTCTTTTGCAGCCATACCTATTTTTGTGAGAGGTTTGATGATTTATGTAGCTCCCAAATCAAGTGACAGGTTCAGTAATTATCACAAAGCCTTTTATCATTGTAAGGTCTTTCTTTTAAGCAAAAGATCCCAACGCTGCTCTGTCCCTAGCTGGATTGAGCCTGCCTGAGGTCTTCAGAAAAGAGCCGGTGAAGCCTAGCGAGCAGCACCAAGAACACAGTGGTGTCCGGGGAACCTGATTTCAGTTCCTCAGCTCAACACCTCTGTGGGGAATCGACTATTATTATTCAGAATTTGCAGATGTGAAAACTGAGGCCTAGGTATAGTAACATCTTGCCTGAAGTCGCAGAGTAAGTGACAAACCTAGAAATGAAATCCTGATTTCGCTGATTCTAAAGAAAGCCTGGATCCTGATCACTACAAGCCATTCCCTTCCTTCCGTAGAGCAATATGAGAAAAATGTGGTTAAAAAAGTATCCAGAGTCTCTCAGGCCTATTGCTGATACTCTGATTCTTCTGTAAAACACCTTCAAGGTTGAAAATATTAAGATGATCATTTTTATTCTCAGGGCCTTTCGGGAAAGGATTTGATTGTTTATGAAACTCTGTGTGAAAATGGTAATATTATGGTTAAATTATACACCTACATACTACATGGCATAAAATTATATTCTCAATATCTATTTAATAACAAAATATTTAAGTTACAAAATGTTACTTATACAGCATGAATCCATGTATATAAAAGAAATAAGGTGAAAGGCAGAGAAAAAAAAAATCTCTGACAGGAAATATGCCAAAATATTAATAGTGGTTATCTCTGAGTCATAGGATTAGAAATTATGTCCAGTTTAATGATTGTGATTATTTTTTATTTTCCCCAAATTTTATTATGAAAAATTTCAGGCCTGTTGTAAAGTTGAAAGAATTTTGTAATTCATTTTGTTTAACTTTTCATCAGTATTTTCTGTGACGTGTTTTTTTTAAATAAGTACAAAGCATTATTTTTTAAAAGAGCTGTCACCCTGTATTTTTCTCCCGTTTGCTCACTATTTCTGTTTTCTCAAATACTTTTTACCCCATTAACGTTTTTCCAAAAGAAGGCATAGAGCTCTAGAAACTAACGACATTTATGTGTCAATCTCAAGTTCAGTCTTGCAGTCTATTGGGAACCACTTTGAGGGCTCTCCTCACAGTCGACTGGCCCTCTTAGCCATAGGTGGGAAGGTAGGATGCTAGTGTA